ATCTATTATCAAATAATAGTATTGTGGCATACAAGCAGTTTCGGGAAGTCTACTGCTTAATATTATTCAGTGATACTCTGGTGATTCAGAAGAGCAATATCAATTTAGAAATATTTTGTTGTGTTTATATGATAGTAAGTCTACTATGGATAACTGGCAAATGCTTTCTATATAATTCAAAGATTCAGCAAGTATTGATCAAATAGAGTATAAACAATTCTCTGATTCTTTATACATTCTATCTCAAAAGTGTGATGTTAATGAAATAAATATTAATAAATTAAGATTATTAAATTGCCCAATTACTAAGATTAATACCATTCATACTAGTAGTAAGGAAGCATCCAAGGCAGATTCTGATGTAGCGAAAGGTCTTGATATGCAATTATTGTTGGCTAGAAGTGCACTCATTATGCTTAGAGTGAACCTTTGTATAAAAGCAGAGTTAGTTAATAGCTCAATAGAGATAGTTCAAGATATACTGTTCAAAGACAATCAAGATCTACTTTTACTTTCTATTGCAGTTTTTGTAAAATTCAATGATTATAATAGTTTTGCAATTATATCTACAAATAGTAAAAGAGTTATTTTGATTTATCTATCTGATGATCTTGAGATACAAATACTAGAACTTACTCTCACTTACAAATCCCCCTTTGTTTAGCGTGGGCTATCATAGTACACAAAAGTCAAGGACTAATATTGCCAAATGCTATAATTAATATTAGAAAAAAGAATTTGCTTCTGGTTTCTTCTTCATAGCAATATCCCATATTTGTGCTCTTAAAGATATTCTTTTTGATCCATTTTTGCTTGACAGACTTCAGAGAATTAAATTATACAAAAGATTACTAGAAAGAAAAGATGAAGAGAATCTTCTTAACAGATCAAAATTAAAATGAATACTCTATTATTAATAGATACAGATAATAAATATGTCTCTTACAGCTAAATAAATATAAATTTTTTAAAATGTTTCTTAGCTAAAAATCTAATATAAGAATGTTATTGTCATAATTTTAATCAAGTTTAATTTACAAAAAGTGATTGAATAATCATTTGAATGGAAATAGTAATACATAATTATATGAGTGATGCTAATGCAAGTCCTGTAAGCAAATATTTAGTCATCAATAAGTACAACTAGAATATTAATTGTATATAATGATTTAATACGACATATCTACCTTATTGATACCTCAAAATTTGCTTACAGGTTTTACCTTGTATCGATTAATTTTGTAATTATAATGATTTGATCTCTGCAGATTATGATGGTATGCTTAGTCACAATAACATTTTATTGAGATAATTTACTAAGTATATTAATAAGATTATCTATAATTCTAGTGTATTTTGCTCTTATAATAGTTTATTTATACTGATTAATGATTTCAAAAGTAATTTTGAATTATTCTGGCTTTAAATTTTAATCATCTGACTAATTGGAGTAGTTAATATATTATTAAGCACCTAAGCAAGTATATCAATTTGTTCCATAATACTCAAATCAATTTTTTCTAAGCTTATTTGTAAATCAGTAAATATTTTAAAGAATTATTATAATTTCATAAAGTGATATAATGTCTAGCAGATTTTTTTTGATTCATTAATATCTTTAAAGACTTTCAATAAATACAAAAGTACAACTCAACCAGAGCAGCCTTCAAAAATATAGGTCATGTAGTGATTAAAATGCACAATATGCAAATATTAATGCAATATCAAAAGTTTCAAAGCAATAGAGCTATAACTTCAGTACTGATTTATCTGCTGCTACTACAGCTAGTGTTGCAACTCATATGACTCATATTTTAAGATAGAGTTCAAAATTACTAACTGAAAAATATAATTACAAAAAAAATTCTAGAAATTTTTAGCTAATAGCAATACAAAAATCAAATAGTTACACATTTTTACAAAAGACAATACTGTTGCTTTGGACCCACATCAGATTCTGATTTTCTAGTATAGTAAAAATAGCAAAATATTATAGTAGAAATAGTAGTCCTCTTTTTTAATAGGGTCCAAGTTTTTTCAATTGCATTTAACTATTTTTTTTGTTGAGGAAGAGTTTTTGATTTTTCAATAAATATTATTGTCTATGAATTAATTTATAAAAAATCTGTATTATATAAATAATTTATATAATAATAATAAATAAATATTACCTTTACTAATATTTGTTTTAATTCAATTACTTTGTCATTTGTTCCTTAAAAATTAGTTTGCTCTTTGCAAATATTTAGTTTTACTACTAGGAAATATAGAACATTCCTTTTTTAATAAAGTTCAACGCAACAATAAATATTCATTTCTTTATGAAACTAAACAAACTATTTGGCAAGATATCAAGAATAATTTACCAATCACATTGGCCAATTCTGAAGTGGAATATTGTGATTATGAGGAAACGGTGGTAGATTTAAGTATAGACAAATATGAATTAGGTGCCAGTGATATTAAAGTAACAAATGACAAAGTAATTGAATTAAAACAAATATTAGTAAAGGTAATATTTATTTATTATTATTATATAAATTATTTATATAATACAGATTTTTTATAAATTAATTCATAGACAATAATATTTATTGAAAAATCAAAAACTCTTCCTCAACAAAAAAAATAGTTAAATGCAATTGAAAAAACTTGGACCCTATTAAAAAAGAGGACTACTATTTCTACTATAATATTTTGCTATTTTTACTATACTAGAAAATCAGAATCTGATGTGGGTCCAAAGCAACAGTATTGTCTTTTGTAAAAATGTGTAACTATTTGATTTTTGTATTGCTATTAGCTAAAAATTTCTAGAATTTTTTTTGTAATTATATTTTTCAGTTAGTAATTTTGAACTCTATCTTAAAATATGAGTCATATGAGTTGCAACACTAGCTGTAGTAGCAGCAGATAAATCAGTACTGAAGTTATAGCTCTATTGCTTTGAAACTTTTGATATTGCATTAATATTTGCATATTGTGCATTTTAATCACTACATGACCTATATTTTTGAAGGCTGCTCTGGTTGAGTTGTACTTTTGTATTTATTGAAAGTCTTTAAAGATATTAATGAATCAAAAAAAATCTGCTAGACATTATATCACTTTATGAAATTATAATAATTCTTTAAAATATTTACTGATTTACAAATAAGCTTAGAAAAAATTGATTTGAGTATTATGGAACAAATTGATATACTTGCTTAGGTGCTTAATAATATATTAACTACTCCAATTAGTCAGATGATTAAAATTTAAAGCCAGAATAATTCAAAATTACTTTTGAAATCATTAATCAGTATAAATAAACTATTATAAGAGCAAAATACACTAGAATTATAGATAATCTTATTAATATACTTAGTAAATTATCTCAATAAAATGTTATTGTGACTAAGCATACCATCATAATCTGCAGAGATCAAATCATTATAATTACAAAATTAATCGATACAAGGTAAAACCTGTAAGCAAATTTTGAGGTATCAATAAGGTAGATATGTCGTATTAAATCATTATATACAATTAATATTCTAGTTGTACTTATTGATGACTAAATATTTGCTTACAGGACTTGCATTAGCATCACTCATATAATTATGTATTACTATTTCCATTCAAATGATTATTCAATCACTTTTTGTAAATTAAACTTGATTAAAATTATGACAATAACATTCTTATATTAGATTTTTAGCTAAGAAACATTTTAAAAAATTTATATTTATTTAGCTGTAAGAGACATATTTATTATCTGTATCTATTAATAATAGAGTATTCATTTTAATTTTGATCTGTTAAGAAGATTCTCTTCATCTTTTCTTTCTAGTAATCTTTTGTATAATTTAATTCTCTGAAGTCTGTCAAGCAAAAATGGATCAAAAAGAATATCTTTAAGAGCACAAATATGGGATATTGCTATGAAGAAGAAACCAGAAGCAAATTCTTTTTTCTAATATTAATTATAGCATTTGGCAATATTAGTCCTTGACTTTTGTGTACTATGATAGCCCACGCTAAACAAAGGGGGATTTGTAAGTGAGAGTAAGTTCTAGTATTTGTATCTCAAGATCATCAGATAGATAAATCAAAATAACTCTTTTACTATTTGTAGATATAATTGCAAAACTATTATAATCATTGAATTTTACAAAAACTGCAATAGAAAGTAAAAGTAGATCTTGATTGTCTTTGAACAGTATATCTTGAACTATCTCTATTGAGCTATTAACTAACTCTGCTTTTATACAAAGGTTCACTCTAAGCATAATGAGTGCACTTCTAGCCAACAATAATTGCATATCAAGACCTTTCGCTACATCAGAATCTGCCTTGGATGCTTCCTTACTACTAGTATGAATGGTATTAATCTTAGTAATTGGGCAATTTAATAATCTTAATTTATTAATATTTATTTCATTAACATCACACTTTTGAGATAGAATGTATAAAGAATCAGAGAATTGTTTATACTCTATTTGATCAATACTTGCTGAATCTTTGAATTATATAGAAAGCATTTGCCAGTTATCCATAGTAGACTTACTATCATATAAACACAACAAAATATTTCTAAATTGATATTGCTCTTCTGAATCACCAGAGTATCACTGAATAATATTAAGCAGTAGACTTCCCGAAACTGCTTGTATGCCACAATACTATTATTTGATAATAGAT